TCAGCCTTCCAGTCACAGGCTGGGCATGGCACTCTGGCTCTTCTGCCCTGCCGTGGGTGCTCTATAGAGATCACAGGCTGGGGTTGTTCTTGCAGATGAAAGGAACTGAGCGAAGCCAGAGCAGCACAGCTCTTCCAGGGCTGCTGAAAAGCACAGCTCTCCCAGGGCTGCATCCTGTCCTCCACCCTCAGCCCGCTGACCAGTAAACCCTCCTCTGCCCACAGACCCACCCTACCGAGGTAATGCGTGAAAAGAGAGAATGGCCCCTCTGTGGAGAGATCTCTGCCCACCCCCTGCTTCTTCCTGTGGGCACAGTATTTCCAAGCTTTTCTTTTCTTTCTTAACATTAAAACAAATTCAGTAACAGACCCTGCTTGTGTCTCCTAGATGTTTGAAACCAACTCATTTGCTCATAATTGCAGGAGGGAAAAAACACTCAGGGGTGACCTGGATGTTTTGAATTTTCCAAAGAGAGAGGTCTTGGAAGGGGTTGATGGGGCAGGGCAAGGGTGGGGGTCCTCAGGTGTTCAAAGTGAACTGAGATGCTGTGGGTGCGTGTTTGCCCCTAGACTCGTGTTCAGATGGAAGAGAAATGACTGCTCCGGCTTCTTGGCATCTGGCAATGCTCTAGGTCTGTGGCTTCACTACCCCCAACAAAATACCAGGGCAAAGCCCTGGTCCCCCACTTCTGCAGAAGGTATGTTGTTCTTACCAGATGGGCCACCCCAAAGACTTTGTTTTTTCAAAAACAGGAAAAGTATTGGTCTTTAGGGGCCAGGTATACTCTTGGCCCAAGGCCATCTGTGGCCTCTAGTATACAGAAGGAAAACCCCAGGTCTATCTCAGTCTCTTCTGCTGCCTGCCTCCCCCCCCCCCTCAGAATCATAAGGAAGATTCCCAGGTGGACATGAAGGACAGGACCAGTGCCTTCCCATGAGCATGGGTTCCCCTGGAGAGAGGACTCAGAGCTACAGAATGCCAGGAGGGCCTCTCATAGTTCAGACGGGAAATTGGGTACAAGGTCAATGACTTTCTTTCCTGTCGCTAGGCGGGGTGGGAGCTGAGATAGACAAGGGGCATGGAGCCTGGCCAGCACTCCCGGAGAAGTGGCTACATGCTTCATATCTACCCACAGTCAAGGCACCAGGAGGCTGGAGGGAAGTTTCAGTAAAGATGGATGGGAATTGAACCCCTTGAAGTCCTGAGCTACATTTCCAGCTCCAGAAGGCTACAGAGGAGCAAATAAAAAGATAACCTTTGTCCTCGGGCCTGAAGCAGGTCTGAACACCCAGACAAAGCTGGGGTGAGGGCTCATGGCTGGGCTGAGAGGACTCTTGGCATCTGGGACCTGAACAGAGCCAGGAGGCGGGCTGCTGTGGCTTCCATAGCCTGTGTGTGTCACAGCTCCAGCAGCCGCCAGCAGGGACAGGTGCAGCCCCATGATGGCGAGGGAGGTGTACCTTCTTCAGTCTTCTATGTGCAGCTGACATGGGGTCTCTCCCAAAGACACAGGACCCCAGCAATCCAGGCTTCTGAGTTGACTCAAGCCCAGGTCCTGACCATTACAAACACAGATCTTGGGACCCTGGGTTTCCGTTCTTCATGTTGATCCATGTCTTCAATTTAGAGCCGCCTCTCCTCCATAGGTGGACTGTTGATCTCTTCTGGTGGCTGTAACTCCCAGAACTTTCTCTTAAGATGCTGAGACCTTCTCCTGTCCTTCTATCTCTTTTGGATACTGGAGCTGCAATCCTGCATCTTGAACCTTGAATTAGCAAGGCCTATGCTTTTCTGACTTGACGTATATTTCTTATTGGATAGTACAGCATCATTTCTGCAATGCAGATGCTTCCTCATGGGCTGTGCTGTCCTGGCAGCGCTGTGTACATGTGCATGTGTGTGTATATGCCAACAGTATATGTGATTATACATATAACTGTATATTTAGGTATGTACATGCACCCATGTTTGCACATATGTGTTGTGTATGTGCCCACGGCTGTGTAGTGTTCCTAATTGCCTAAAAGTTTTCATAGACACTCAGGGGAGGGAGAAAATAATCTGAGAAACAGGACCTGACACTTTTCAGTGTTTCCTTCTCAAAGAGAAGCCTGTCCTCAGGAATCTTTTTTTACTAGTAGTATCTCCAGGAAGTTTTATTCAGCTGCGGAGAGGGTCAAAGTGCTACTCTACAGGGGCAATTGTCTTCACAGGATGGCCAGGAAATGGAAGTGATTACATGGAGGCTGTGGCCAGCTGTGAAAAAGAGAAGGAGAGAGGGAGGGAAAAGGAGGAAAAGAGAGGCATGTGTGTGTGTGTGTGTGCATGTGTGTGCGTGCGCGCGCGCGTGTGTGTTTGTGTGTGTACATATCTCTGTTTGGGGGACAATAACAACTAGCCTGAACTGGTGAATATTTGGGGTGAGTCTGTGGGTTCCAGTGGGGAGGGGGCTTATTCTCTACAGAGGGGTCTCAATGTGAAGTCTGGGGGTGGGAACTACTTCAGGATTGGGGTATTATTTTGGCTCTGGACCTTCTCAAAGGTGGCATTTGCCTAAATCTCCAATTCCTTCTAAACACGGGTCTATTTATCATCCTACGCATGGGATTAGGCCAGGAAGAATTCACCCTACAAGACCATGTAGAAGAGAGACAGCCAGCAGGTAAGGAGGCACAGGTAAGTCTGACCTGGCATTAGTCAAGCAATGCAGTCAAGGGTGTGGGCACAGAGCACACGGCAGGGCACAGGGCACAGAGAAAATGACATGGAGAAAAGGGAACAGGGCATAGGGAAGGTCACAGGACACTGGACACATGGCAGAGGGCACATAGCGCAGGGCACAGGGCACAGGGCACAGGACACAGGGCACAGGACACAGGGCACAGGACACAGGGCACAGGACACAGGACACAGGGCATAGGGAAATGTGCAGGGCACAGAGCAAGGCACAGGGCACAGGACACAGGGCACAGGGCACAGGACACAGGGCACAGGGCACAGGACACAGGACACAGAGCACAGGACAGGGTGCAGGACACAGGGAAAGGCACAGGGCATAAGACACAGGGTAGGGCTCGGGGCACAGGACACAGGACACAGGGAAAGGCACAGGGCACAGGGCATCAGACACAGGGTAGGGCTCAGGGCTCAGGGCTCAGGGCTCAGGGCTCAGGGCTCAGGGCACAGGGCTGGGAAAGGCTGGGGACGCAGTAGCTTTGAACCAAAGGATGCAGGGGTCCAAGGATGTAAATGACTCTAACCTGGAGCGTTCCCGCCCATGGTCTGAAATGAAAAGAGAATTCCCTGCAAGGCAATCACTTCTCTTTAACCCATACATGGTAGTTTAAGTAAACGTCCCTGAAATAATTAAGAAAGAATAAAAGGTTTTTGAAGGCCAGTTTTTCTTTGAGAGGACTATACTGTGTGTATTCTCTAAAAAGCTTGCCCCACAAAGACTCAAGCCTCACTGTTCGATTTCAGCTAAGTTCCAGCATCTGTTTCCCAGGTAACAGAAACTGTATTCTCGTTGTTCTACCAGCATCTCGCAGAAACCCATCCCTGCACGCAGACACCCGCATCATGCTTCCCAGGGCTCAATGTTCTGCAGATCTGAGCTGGAGAGGGGGGCTTGGCCAAACCCTGTGTACCTTAAATCCAGTTTCCCGTCACTCTGTCTCTTTTTTTTTCTAGAAGCGGGAAGTTTTTCTCCTATGTTCCCCTTTACCGTCATAGTTATTATTCCTATGCTCAGAATCCCTCAGTCAGAAAGTTGTCTTTTTTCCTTCTCTCAAAATTTTTGGTTTTAGTGGAAGGTCATGGAGGTCTTGGCAGCAGCATCCCGGGTCCTGGTTCTGTATGGAACCAGCAAGTGTTTGGTGGAGCCACTGCTAGCAAATTGAGCCCAAGAGCTACGAAGACAGCTCTGGAGGAGCACGGCGAAGCAGTAAGCAGGGCTAGGGGCCTCCCTCACGCCCTCCCTGTTTCCTTTTTAAATGCAAAATATTTCTCTAGAGTCAAGAGCCTTGAACCACTTTAGACGGCTTGCAGGGCAGCACAAGAATGGGCCCTTTGTTACGTGGTCTTCACGAACGGTTTTTAAAATAAAATGGACCCTTTTTCCCCCCCAACAACATCTCACATGTAGCCCGAAGACACAGGCAGAATGAACTGCTCTGCTGGGAGGGTTGGGATTTGGTACCCGGAGGAGAACACAAGGCTTTGCTGGAGGACTGATATCTGCAAGGTCAAACGTGAAGCTACGGAAGAGACAGAGTAGCGCTGGTCACGGTGCCCAGCAGAAGGAAACTGAGTATTGTGGGTCTGGACCCCTGCCCTGGGACTGCAGTGGCAAGCGGTTCTGAGAAGCTGAGCTCAGAACTGCAAGTTCCTCAGCCTCTGAGAGGGATGAGGCAGAAGTCAGGACTGTTCAGCTCAGTTTACTCCTAGAGAGACGGGAGGCCATGCCAATGCAGGACCATGCGCTTGGCAGCAGGTCATGCCATGATTATGACTTGTGGGCTTTGGGCATTTTTCCTGGTCTAGGAAGTAGCTCTGTGCCAATAGACTGGCCAATGTGGACTTTAGGAAGCCTTGATTGACCAGGGTTTAGGCAACTCTCCTTCCCATTGGTTCCTGTTGGCTGCTCTTCCCACAGTTCTTGGTATTTGTAGGGAATGAGGCCCCTGTGACTTGAGGTCCTGTCTGTTTCAGCTGCTATTTAAAACCACAGCTCTCAGTTCTCCAATGTCACCAGCCTCAGACAAGTTTCTTCTGACCTTTGCTCTGTGGTCTTTGCTCTTGTGAAGTATTCTGGGGCAGCTAAATTTTACAGGTAGCCCAGCTGGGCAGGTGTCAAATGGCCACCCCCTACGGCAGGACAGAGCTTAGCAGGTGACCCACGATCTTACCAGAGGCTCGGCTGACCCTCCCCTTAGCAACCATCCACCTTGGTGCCTTGTCTCAAGGACAGTCCGTAGGGACAGTGACCATCCTAGACCTACCTGTTCGTTGATCTGACACATGGTGAGGTTTTGGTCATCACAGGAACACGCTACACGGATGTACTTGAGCCAGCTGCCAGCCCCAGCCTGATTGGCATCCACGCAGAACTTCTCGCTGCCCAAGTCTTCAGAGACCTGCTGGGGAAGAAGTGCGCTAAGGTCAGAGATGCCCCGTGTGCTATGTCAGGCTGCACTGACCTCAGAGGCAGGATGGCAGGTTGGGTGAGAACTTCAGCCAGTCCTACGCATCAGAGAGGCCCTGTCTACCCATCACACCTGGTCCAGGGAGCCACCAGGAGATTGGCGGAGAAGAGGGTGGCTCTTCCTGTTCTTGCATAGCTGCTCACGGTCAGGCCAGGCAATGACGAGTCTCCTGCACTGGTAAAGTGTTCCAGCAAGCTGTCCAGGTGTGAGAAAGCAGAGCCTTCTGTGTCTGACACAAACCCTCTGCTAAGGATAGTGTGGGTGTTGGGCTCGAAAAAGCACTTCTGAAGGTAAAGGTGTTACCGGGGTGTGCAGCTGCACCCGAGTCCGTGTGTGTGGTATCTAAGCGTGCATGTGCCTGTGTCGACGCGCTCCTGTCAGATTAGCACATCACCTGAATGCCAGGAAGACATTTTGTGTCCTCAAAATTGGGAACTTTCAGTTTGATGCTGGCCAGCCAGCAAACGTCATGCTTCCTCCCCAGGTCCTGCACAACAGGCAGGGCCCACAACTGGCTTTGCTTTGTCGTTGCTGATGCCTTCTGGACTCTCTTCAGAGTCTTGTTTGTTGATCTGTGTTCCCCCCAACTCCACCCCAATCCCTGCCCCCACCCTGAAGGGTTGCTTGCAAGAAGACCTGGACCACAGGCTGGCAGCTGCAGACATCATAGAGTTCCACTCATACCTGCTCTGTTCAGAACCTATGACGAGCCCTAATTCAAAGCCTTTGAAGCAACTGGGGTGGCTAACTGGGCACACGAAAGGCAGAACGGTTAAAAGGGAGGTTGGCGGGCAGGAGTATCCTGGGGCAGGCGTTTTCAGTTGGGAAGGGGCGAAGGTGCAGCAGGAGGGGCTCTTTCAGTAGATTTTCACCACTAGGCATGCAGTTTTCAAGATCTTTGTGCACCTATGGCCGGCATTGGAATTCCACGCACAACAATGAAACCACACGTCCTGCTTCTGTACACCCACTCCCTTATCCCCAAGGATTCTGACACAAGTCAGACCCTGAGCACGTGGCAGATGGCTTTGTCTCCCAGTTGACACCTGTCAGTGACCCCTGGGTTCCCGACAAAGGGCGGCAGCCTGAAGGGACCCAGTAGGGAGGGAGAGTATGGAGGAAGCCCTGCAGATTCCAGGGGCAGACTGCAGCCCTGTACAGTAACACAGCAATGCCCGGTCCCAGGGCCCCATGCGCTCCCTTGGGTGTCCAGTGGATTCTCTGGAAGCACGAGGTAGCCGGGACAGAAATGGGGCTAAGCACTGACTCCATCAGGCAGAGACTTGAGTTAAGTGGCCAAGCCCTTCAACCACTTGCCCCCATGTTCCCTCAGCCCAGAATCATCTAAGAGGCCTCAGCACTCCAGGCTGACTGTGGATGAGGTCACAAAGCAACTATGTTCTGTGCCTGGGAAGGTGCAGATGGGGAACGCCCAGAGTGCAGAGGCTGGGGTGAGCGGAGTGTACCCTTGCACAGAGCCTAGCCCCCCCCAAGCCTGGGATCTCTACTTTCCTCTCAAATCTGCAACACCAAGGTCCATACACTGTTGGCAAAGCTGGGAGCCCGACTGCACTCCTCTCTTTGTTTAGGGAGCAGGTAAGGGGGTCAGAACGCTTCCTGAGAGGCAGGACCCTCAACTCTAGAGGCAATAGGATAGAGTTTTTCCTCTCCTCTCCTCTGGGGCTTAGGGGAGGGGTGCCCAGGGAGCTCTTCCCAGGTGTCTGAACCCTATCCAGGATACCGGGAGTTCACACAAGGCCCTGCTACTCAGGGGTTAGATGAAGCCTTCCCTGCTCCTTACCAACCCTTAGAGGTCACTGCTTGCCATGTTCCAGTTCAGGGCCAGCCCAACCCAAACACTACTGGGTGACCCCCACAGCCTGCAGAGGATGGAGGCAAACTGAATAGCGGCCTTATGTTGAGACCATGAGGGCTGACATGCCTAGTGGGGGTGCTCAGGTCTCCCATTCTCTAAGATGTGGTGGGCTCAGGCCACCAAGCCCACAGAGGGAGCACCTCAGACCCTCCTCCCAACTGATAACTCTGCAGGGATCTGCTGAGGAGGTCAGCCCACAGGTGACAGGGCCTCTACCTGACAAGGAGGCTCACCCCGCTCCTGAGACATAGGAATAGAGAAAGGCTAGCTGTCGAGAGGCCAGGGGACCCCTTTCTCCCTGCCTGAGGGGTCAGGGACTTCCTGTGGATTCCTGCCACACAGACCTCTAAGCAGATGGTGCCGAATCCCAGGTCCCGTTTCTGGCTCCCTGTTCCTCCCTCTGTGTTTATCTTGCTCATTTTTCTGTCTCTCTGTTTTTTTTTTTTTCCCTTATGGTGCAGGGCCTGGGGGAGCTAGTTAACGGTGATGTGAATGAGCATGTCTTCATACAAGGCTCTGTCCCCAGGACTTTGCTGGGGTTTGGTTGTTGATTTCTCAGAATTGAGACCTGCTTCCCCAAAAACAATCTTTGTTCATTAGCTCACAAGCCCTCCAGGCTGGCTATGGATGAGGCCGTGCTCATTATTCTGTTAAAGTGCTTGGCAGCTCAGTGAGGTCCAGCTAATCATATGGATAAATATGCGTGCATGCAAGGTGTGTGCATGTGTGTACATGATTATGGCTATACATACACAGCTATGCACCTCGTGTGTGAAAACATGCACACACACATATATGTAAGTGCATGTGTGTATACACAAGAATCTTTAATGTGCACACATGTGCCTCTCTCTGTGTGTGTGTATGTGTGTGTGTGTGTGTGCATGTGCATGCACACTCAGCTGGCACATTTTTGAAAAAGACGAATTCATTCCTATGAGAAAGTGACCTAGGTAGCTGCAGTTGGTCCTAGTTTGTAACCACCCAGGCTTCTGTCCTTCATTAGCTCCTGACCCTCTGTATGATTGCTTTCCTGGTTGTCCCTAAAGACTTGAGAAAGTCCTCTTTCCCAGTGTGATCACCTCAGAATCCAGATTCTCCATCTCTGAGGGGTGCCCATGAATACTAAACCCTTCCCAGGGAGGGGGAGCTACTGTCTTAGGCAGTAGAATTAGGTGGGATTCTCTAAAATCTGGAATCCACCATCCAGGCTTGGATCCTCACAGGTCCTTGGCATTGCTGCCTCTGCAGCTGGGCTTTGACGTAGTCATGGAGATGAAGCCTTAGCACCACTTCCTAGCTGAGGGGACCTCAAGTGGCCCACTGGGACTCTGACCAGCAATTGCTTGGCTCTGAGGGTTCGTGGGATGCTGAGAGGAAGGCCTGGGTGTTAGGGTATCAAGTCCACAGCCACAGGCAGCTGAGCACATGTCCCTGACTGCAGTGGGAGAAGCAAGTGCCAAGGACCCGAGGCCAGAGGCCACAGCATTGGCTCAATCTTTCCCATCTGGAGTCTGGCAGATGCTTGCACCTACGCTCTGGCAGGAGCTGTGTAGCTCGGATAGTTCCAAGGATGTGTGAGAGCTCACAGGGGACAAGAGAACGAGGGTGCACACATCAGGTTCTGTTCATACACGAGACATGAAGAGTCATATTTGAGTGTGGTGGGGTTCTCTTGGCTGGCTTTTCTGTGGCTGTGCAGCCGAACCTCCGCCCACTCGAAAGCCTGGCTCTGGAGTTGTTGGGGCTGAGCCTGTGGACTCCCATAATTACCGGTGGAAGTGGCCCTTCTGCCCATTTGCCCCCACTTGGCCTCTCAGCCCCCGTGCTCCTGCCAGCTTCCCCAGCTCATCAATCACCCCCATCAGAAATGCTGAGTTAAGAAACGAAGAGATGGAAAAAAAAAATCCTCTTACCCTTGACAATTTTTTTTGCACATCATTTGAGGTTTCCTGCACTTTTAATCTGTGGCTCTCTGCTGGGCCAGCTCTTTCCCATTTAATGGGCACGGCCAGGGGCTGGCTCCATATGGGATGTGCACACAGGCACGAGAGCAGAGGCGTCTGTCGTCAGCTCACCTAATGGATTCCCAGCCTGCAGGAAGGAGTGAGGCCTAGGAGTCACCTTGTTGGCCTGTGCCCTAAAGCTGCAGCGTGCTCCCCTGAAGCTCACAGTATGGTGGGTGTCTATAGGACTGTATCACGTGTCCCGCTAACCCCTCTTCACACCTGCATGCACACCTGGGCACACACGCTAACATGAACACATATGCACACACAGATACGTAGAGGCACACGTGTGAGCACGCACATACAATGGTTATGATTTACGACACTCCCAAGGAGCCCAAACAGAAAGTCCATTCTTGTGACAGAAAGAGGAGGGCAGGCCTTCTGGAGACACCTCCATGTGGCGGACATGGAGCCTGAATGAGCTCATAAATCCTGTCCCGACGCTCATTATGGGCTTGGTGGTGACATGACCAAGTGCTAAGCAGAAACACGGCAGCAGGATGGGGTCTGCTGCTGCCAGCAGACAGGAGCCTTGCTGAGGAGATCAGGAGGTCAGGGGCCCATCTGTTCCAGCTGAGAGGGAGGGAACTGAGGAATAGGAGGGAGAGAGAGTTTTCTGGGACTCACTCCTAAAAGAATTTGTCTGGGACTTTCTATGTCCCTCTGGCCTTGGCCTCCACTGGACAGTTGCTGGGTAGTGGTGTATGATAGAGTTACAGGGTCCTGGACAGACCCCAGAGCATGGCTCAGGGTTGGGGGGCTGCCAAAAGAGAGCTGTTGCCTGACCAGGGACTGCACTAACAGGTGCTGGTGACGTCCCGTTCCACACCTGGAGAACTTGGCTCCTGTGTCAGTCACAGGCAGATGCTCTTGGTTTAAAGCCACACCAAGAAATGTGTATTGTAAAAAGTCACCGAATCCCATATTTTCCAGCATTTGGGCCCCACGCAGGCCTTTGAAGATCTGAAGAAAGCCACACACCAGAAGTTACTCAGACATGCAAATGCCTCGTGAACACTCTGAGGTTCCCGGCAATCTCGCACCCA